CTAACATATCTTGTTTTAGCTAAAGTAGAGGCAAAAACTTTGTTGTAATATATCCCCGAGTTAAAATAAGATGGAATTTCATGTAAGATATAGTGAGATAGTACAGGTTGTTCTCTACTACGTAAAATTTGGACTAAACATTATAGAGGTATGGTCTAATCAACTTTTTATTTACTTCTAGTTCCTCCGTGCAGGCTGATAATACGTGTAATAGGAACATTTTCTTGGAGCGCACATACATGCACAAGTAAAGTTTCCCACAACTTGGTTAGTGCTTCTAATTCCCTAGTGAAAGATTCTGTTGCTCACATATGGCTGTAGAATACACACTACACATCTATAAATTAATGAATATCATTTCAGTCGGGGTGAAACATAATGATTTTGAAACCACGACAACATTACAAGATGGAGATCTGGAGTTCCATTCTAGCCATGATAAAGTGTTATTAAAGTAAACCTTTTATAGATGATTATTTCTCCAATCAATGTTTGAAAACCATGAAGTTAATTTTTCTTTTTTAGATGAAGTGATTTCATTAATGGCATCAAGAAGATGCAAATAATAATGATGAAGTTAATTCTTACATTGAGAAAATAACATAGTCAACTCTTCTTTTCTAAAATCTTGAAATCAGCCATAAGAAGAATATCTTTCTAGGGAGTTAAAGCGCTGATAAGTTAAAAAATGAAAATAAATGCCTATCATATTCGATTGAACTGTTGGTAAAAGCTTAAAAGTTAAAATACTTTATGAATTGGCATGCAATTGAAGCTTATTATAAGCTTGATGGAACATGTGTGCAAAGTAAAAGAAATATGATGACAACAGCAACATGGGTGAAGATGATAAGCTGGAATAGAAGATGCACCGCAGTAAGCTACAGTGCGCCAAAATTATTTAAAGAAGTGGAACCTGTATCAACAAAAATCTTCATATTCATCAGATTGCGGACACGCGAGTCATGGAAAACAAGAATACCCTCCAAGATGATAACATCAGATGCATTCACCTGGCAGAATTTTCATGCTAAAGATTTGTTAAGTTGCTAAAAAAGGAACAAACAAACACAAAAGAAACTCAACTAGAAAGCGGTATGCATTATTTTCTATCGGATTTCTCTTCATAAGAGAAACAGAAGCACAACATCTTATAGACCAATGAGAAACACAATTGGTGGGTCACGGGTGAGCCATGTTAAATGAAAGAACTGTGCAGCATATACAAGCTGATACAAACCAACGGGGAAAATCTCATTACTCCTACAGAGACTGCGAATAAGGCAATACGCTTAAAGGTCTTAAATGATCCTTTGAAGCAATTAGAACCGTGATCCTTATCGAAGAAATAAAAAGCAATAAGAACCGAGATCCAAGTAAATCAGCAAACCGAGAACATGCATATGAGTCGACAAATTTCAAACTACTAAATGCTTTCCAACGAACTTAAATGTGGAGCACGGTTGTCGGTATGAAATGTTCTCGTGAAAAGAGATAAAAGGAGGGAAACAGAACAATGCAACAGTAACATGGTACAAATGTATACCTGGCGGAAGCTGTCTGAACATCTTTGATGGGTTTTAAAGTCATATATTGGGACTTGGACTGACAGGCCAGATTTTAACTTTTCAACGCACTCTAAGAGCTGCTCAGTGTCAAAAGCATCTGAAAGTAAATCATTATATTATTCCGAAGTTAGAACTCATGCTCCTGCACATAATAGTGCCAGAGGTTGGTTAACTGAAAGTTCAACCAAGTCCAGAGAAGTACAAGAGCACTAATTTCCGGATCTTCACCAGCTAAACAGTTACATCTGAGGAGATCGCATTACCTGGATGATCAAAATTATACTCATGGACACGTTTCATTTCTTCAGGCGTCAAACCGCGGTAGAAAGAATCCTGATAACATCAAATTTCGTCACAAAAAAAATTAATATTTCAATCAAATAAACTTACCTGAGAAATCCCCCATGATGAAGAAGATGTGTATGCATCCTTACTTAAATCCAAACAATCAGAAACTAAATATAGGTACACCAGATATGTGGTACCAATTTGTGAAAGAGTATGTAGTTTTATTGGGATTCGTGAAATCTGTAAATAATTCGTAATGCCACCTTCAGAACAATGTATTCCTTTTTTTTGTTGGGGGGAGGGGAGGATTTGGTAAATCCCACCACACCAGAGCAACCCTCTTCCTTTATAACAATATGCTTTCCGTGGCTTTGACAACTATCAAAACATGTCAGCAATCAATAAGTAAGCAAAGACAAGAACACGAAACAAACCTGATTAACAAGCACGACACGATGATCGTGTAATTGTTGGATGATCATGTCACACACTGTCGTCTTACCTGATGCTGTACCTCCAGAAACCCCTGCTCAAAAACCCCCAGAGAATAATAGAACAAATATTAGGTCAAATTGGTATAACAGAATCTCCATGAATAAACCCAAAAAAGTAAAAACAATAATTTATTGTTTTGTATGAATTCTCTATATCTTTTCTGCTTTTTTTGGACCCATTTCAAGTAGTGAAATTTCCCACTGAATTCTTGAAATAATAGGATACACAGAGCAAAAGCTCAAGAATCATTTGAAAAAAACAACATTACATTCAAAACAATCAATCAATCGACTACGCCTGAAGCCTAAACTAGGGGGGTCAGTCATATAAAATCCTCTATGCCCATTCCTATTAACTCAACCCCAATTTAATCTAGTACAATTGTCAGCAAACCACTAAATAAATGGAAGGAAATGAAAACAGAATACTGGGTTGCTGTTGTTGTCATGAACAGAGCCAAATGAATATTACACGATTCATATTACCAACCAAAATTTCTTCAAATGGTATGGGCCTAAAGTGTTACAGCAAAATAGATACTAAAAGTTCATAAAGCCAATTCTCAACTTGTCTAGAATTAACATGTATTTAATTCAAACCGGAAAAAAACAAAAAAGTTTCGATAATTAATTGGGAATTTGAAGAAGTACCGATGACGAAAGGCTGTTTAGGGGTAGTGGAATCAAGAGGGATAGTGGTGGAGAAGTGCGTGGGAGTGTGAGTAGGAGAAGCGCGTGGAGAAGCAGAGCCAGAAGTGAGAAGGCCATCAAATCGGAGACCGGAAAAGTGTGCACCAGAAGCTGCCTCCATCACGTAATCTATCGCCGTTGTTTCCTCAGGCACCGGCGCCATTTTTGCTCTTCTTTTTAAATCTTTTTTTTCTTCTCTGCTTAAGAATCACGGAATAGTCGTCAATGAACAAACACAAAAGGAAGGACAAAAATAATTTATTGGTCAGGGTCAGAATATTATATCAAATACAAACTCAGCTACCTATACTTTGTTTTTTGAGAATATGCTCTTCGAATCCAGTTCTAAACTATCATAAACAAAGTGGACTTCCAATTGATTAACAATGACTATATTAGTAAATAAGAAGATGAAGAATAAAATATTTCTAACTAATCAATATGTGTTTTACTTTACTAATTACATGTTATTAGTAGTTGATTGGAGTAAACATTGTAAAAGTTACATTCTTTTCCTATGATATGAGGATGTGTTGATTCATTTAGAATGATATTTTGGAAATAACGAAATAAATTAGCCTATATCATGCTATTAAAGCAGCATTAGCGAAAATGTTAATAGAATCATTTAACACCATTTAAAAATGGGTCTAGTTATGATATAATAGAAATTAATTAGTGCAAGTCAATTGAACAACGTAATTGATGAGTATGTTATACCTCTTGCATAAGAAAAAATAATGAAACTAACCTCCACCTTTTCCACTTAATGAAGTTGTGGGATCCCTCTTTTAGGTGTGTGCCTTTATTATATTCTTTCTTTTTTCATTTAGTTGAGGAGACTCTTCTATGAAAATATTTATGTCAAACTAATTTGTGAATGTAATTTTAGGATGCACATTTAGTTTCTTTTTTCTTTTCTTTTTTTGGTTAGGAAAGATATAAAATATAGGAGTTAGTATACTTTATGGATTCAACTTTTAAGGTTTTTAGCATTGAACATATTATATTTTTAAAGTTATGGGTTCACATATACTATTTTCGCAATTTTCATAAATTTTTATATATAAATCTTTACTCTGTGTCGAAAATTATGAGCTCAATTGAACTCATTACTAACACGCTACATCCGTCCCTGGTTATGAAGCAGTCCTTGGATAAAGTTGGAGCCTCTGCATTATGTGACCTTAAAGAATTTCGATATTCTTCTAATGTCATAGTCACTAAGTAAACATAAACTGAAAGATGTTACTGCTTTTGCTCTTACTTTTAGACAAGGAACATAAACTGAAAGATGTTACTGCTTTTGCTCTTACTTTTAGACAAGGAAAATATTGAAAAACAGCTTTTTGAAGTTTTTCAAATTTTCAAAAATTTCCAAGATGCATATTCAAGTAAAATTGGAATATGAACAAACGCTAATTTCAAAAAAAAAGGAAAAATTTCTTAAGTCCAAATGGGCTCTAAATAACCGTTAGACTGACCAAGAAAGATTTTCCAGTTTTGAATTTGGAGATCTATTATCTCATGGAACTGCATGAATATCAATATCAAAGATAAAAATATACGCGCAGACGGGCCAGAGGAACTTCAAGTGCAGCCAGCCAAGTACATTGTAAATTGAAAATTCTAACACAATTTTACGAATATATGCTGTATCAACATTCAACAGTAACATCATCGCAAGGAAAGCAAGCAGGAAAAGATGCATAATATGACACCACTTTCCGGATAAACAATGAGATCAACTTCACTGGTACAGAATCTTTTGCTTATCCGGGGACTGGGATAATGGCGTCACATTAGATCTTTTCCTGCGTACTATGATACTACTGTTGGCATCAGCTTTACCGATACCACAATCTGTTCATCAGGAAAGTGGTGGCATACTAATCAACTCTATGCATCAAGCTGATGACAACTATCATCATAATACTATAACAAAATCATGACAACAAAATGACGAAAACCAACCTTGAGAGAACACAGAGAACTTTAAGTGAAATACCAAAGCGAACAATTTTTTAGGACTCAGAAAGGAAGAGACTGTTCGAAACCTAGAAGGCTAGAAATATAATAAAAGGAAAAGACAAAGGTTTTTGTTTGATGTCAAACTTGCCAACTGGTGCAACAAAATTTGCATAAATTCAAAGTTGCTTCTCAATTAACTTATGACCTAACATGTTACATGAACAAGTTGGGTCTGGTAGCCTTGTATGTTGTCTTGAGTTTCCTACTAGGTGGTCTAACTTTCTTCAACACCAACGGGAACTTGATTTTGGAGTCATGGAACTGCTTGGTGCTCTCCCTCTTACACAGCTTAGCTGGAATAGTGGCTGTCTTGATGATCTGGATGCAGTGATGGCGGACCCTGTGACGTGAGGCCATCTCAGTGTACATCTGTTCCACACCTCCATTCAAAGTGGTATCTCGGTACTCCTTGTACATGTTGTGGTACCCGGTTCTACTCTGATAACGCAGCCATATACCGTAGTTCTTGATCTTAGTTGGATTCTTCTCAAAGATCTACAGACAAAAATAACATTTCAGTCAACCATTCAAGCAAGCCATATACCACTTCTAATGTTAGGTTCCAGAAGCCCCATAACAGGGTTTTGAGTCCCCTGTTCTCTCTCCCGCTCGACTCATCTATAAGCATACATCTATTATATACTAGCTCACATCCTCTATTACGCATCTTGTCCTCGAATTGCTTCCATCGTCACATCCATCAAAGCAACTTGAACCCTCATCTCCAAGAGATTAGTGAAAAGAATAATATCACCAAAATCCACCTCTCTTTTATCATGCAAATTAGCAACAGAATATGTGTGAGTGTGTGTATAAGCAGCAACAGTATAATATGTTATGGATTCTAAGAGCACCAAGCACCGTTAAGAAATTTGTAACTTTACAATTCAAAACCAAAGCATCCCTCTAGGCAGAGTGGAGGACAGTAAGACAGTGCTGTTGTAACTTGTACGAGTAGGAATCATCGAGCAGCAGAAGCAACAATACAGCTCGTTATATGCACAGACAAACACTGTCCAGACATCGCTGTTATAAAATACATTGACAGAAAAAACGACAGAATTGAAAAAGTATGGCGTACAGAACACAAAACAAACAATTCCCTCTAATAGGTAATACATAATCAGCATGAAAGAAATAGCATGTGCCACATTTGCAACACAAAGCTTTCCAAATATAAGTCCTATAATACAACAATATCGTGTATTAGAAATAAAACTGCCTTCACAAGGTCAAAATCTAAATGCCATCATCTCAACAAACATCAGATTCCGAAATCCAGTAAGCTAGTATATATAATTCCTTTTTAATTGACTAAAAAGATGCACAACAAAGAGGCAATAGATACATGGTCAAGTACAAAATCAATTTTGGGGAAAATAGACATGTAATATTTTCAAAGCAAAGCCAAACCTAAGCCCATATAAAGGAGCAATTTGGGATTGAAGCGTAGTTGATGAATCATGATTCATTAGTGTACTAACTTTGACACGAAAAATCCAAATACATAAAGCAATACCAGAAATGCAGTAAAATCCTATTCATTCATCCATAAAGACATAGATATCAAGATCATACCTCATTAATAGCCAGCATCTGCCCATTACTCTTTTTCACCTTCTTCAACTTTCTCAAGTAGTACCTTTTTTCCACCAAATCAACCAACACCTTATTTTCAATAATAATCATTTTCCAATACACACATTCGACTATCTAGTAACATGTTTATACTAAGACTGCGCTCATTGTCAAAAAATGAGTAGTGATACTCACCAGAACTTGGATTTGGCACGGACCTCATTCGTAGCCCAAAGCTTCATGCGGTAGATCTTTGGGTGCTCATCGTTCTCTGTTGGCAGAGCTCTTCCCACCACCTGGTACTGATGAAACTGCCAAAGAACAACAAAATAAAAACACACACACACACAAAAACAAAAATTGGAGTTATCAACTGCACCACAAGAAACGGTAAAAGAAAAGAAAGTTTAAAACCTTACTTTGTAGGTCACCATTTTCTCTACGACCCTCTTCCTCTCTCCCTCTCTGGCTGCTCTGTGCTCCGTCTGTGGCTATGGAGAAGAGAGGATTAGGGTTTTTGTTTGGATATTTAGCGAAAATCCATCGTGATCTGGGCTAGAAAATGGTCCAGCCCAGACTTGACACAATATCTGGCCCAATACATTTTAAAAGGGGATTTTTGCACAATTAGCCCGCCATATTCATGGTTTACTTTTTTTAATTATATACATAATTTATACATTGATTATACACAATTATACATGTATAATACATAAATTATGCATATATTATACCTCCATTATCTATTTCTAATTTAAGCGGTTAGATGGCGGCCATTTGGGTTAATTCTTCTTTAAAAAGTGATATTCGCAAATGTTCCTTTTTTACCATCATTTTTTGTCCCTATGTTTAAAAGTTGTGCAAATATAGCCCTTGAAAATTACTCCTTTGATAATATTAAGGGTGTTAAACGGGTGGGCTGGGCCGGGGCGGGTTGGAAAAAAATCAAACCGGTTGAGTTCCAATCTGGGCCGGTTACGGATTAGGTTTTCTCGGGCTTAACGGATTCGATTTCATCCGGGTAAAAAATAAACCGTAAGGGTTACGGGTCCAAGGGGTCGGGTCGGGCCGGGTTAGTATTTTTTTTGGGTATTTTATATAACTATTGTAATTTATATTAATATAAAGTAAAAATATAAAGAATACAATGAAGATGGGGAAAAAATTGCACTTATAAATTGCAAGTGCTACATTTATTTCAAAATTCAAACTTACAAATCGAAAGGTTTACATTTAACAACAAGTAAATTAACGAAAAAAGAGTAAATTCAAAGGTTTTGCATTGTCTTAGTTAGTTCTTCATAATCAATATGAATTGATTGGCCTTCTTCTGGAGTGTTAAATTCAGATGGGTTACCATGTGTTAACATATCTCCAAGTTCCTCGTCTCCTGGGCTATCGACATCTTCACGTCCTTGATTTCTTCGTTCTGATCTAATTCAATCTCTAAAACGTACTAAAACTTCGAAAGCATTGCTTCCCAATAAGTGGTGGGTGTCTCCAAGTTGTTGTCTTGCTTGGCTAAATGCACTATCTGATGCAACAGTTTAAATTGGCACATTCAGCACGTCCCGAGCCATAGCGGAAAGAACGGGAAATTGCTTTTCATTCCCATACCACCATCCCAACGGTGAAAATTTCTTTGTGCGAGGCTCTTTTTTCTTTTGCAAGTAGAATTGAAGTTCATCAATGTTCCTGCTACTAGTTTGAGTGTTAGAAAATTTAGAAAAAATATTAAAACTACCAAGGCCTTCATCATCATCCATAGTAGTAGAAGTGGTACAATGAATAGTGGGATTAACATTACCTACATTAAGAGCAGCAGTATCAAATATATTTGCATAATAATTATATAATTGTTGTAAAGAATCATTTAACTTGTTCATACAAACATATATATCTGGGGTTTCAGTTGGCCTAATCTCAATATACGTCTGTAAATCATTGATTATTGGTGACAATCAGACATCTTAATAGAAGGATTTAAAACAATACCAATTAAGTAAATCGAAGGAATTGGAAAGAAATATTTTTTGAATTTTGCTTGCATTTTTTCAACAACATCCTTATATTTTTCTTTCTTCTTAAATTAAGAGAGTAGAAAAGAAATTTCAGCTATATGTACTAAAGCCATAGTAATAGTAGGGTAATAAACTCAACAGTAGTTATATAAAATTTATGTAAAAATTTAACATCATTAATGGCCACCCAAGTAGTAGTTGTTAACATACTGTTTGGATCAGTACAATGAGCATTAGCAACTTCAGTTATTGGAAATCTATATTTGTAGCAACATTTTAAAAAATATATGTATAATTCCATCTAGTAACAATTTCGTCTGGCATGAATCTGGGTTTAAGGTTATGCTCGGTACACTTATTCTTAAATTTCCTAAAGCAATCATTTTTTCTAACTCCTCACGATCCTTCATTTTATCATATTTCATAAGTCCTCAAGTCATAGGGTTTAGAGTTGCTTGATTTCCATCTCCATTAGAGCCCCATTCTATAGGATGCTCAATTCTCATATGTCTACTAATAGCCCGTTTGGCCAAGCTGCAAAAATCAGCTTATTTTGAAAAGTGCTTTTTTTCAAAAGTGCTTTTCTCAAAAGTACTTTTGGTGAGAAGCAGTTTGTGTTTGGCTAATTAGTTTGAAAAGCACTTCTGAGCAGCAATTAGTGTTTGGCCAAGCTTTAAAAAACTGCTTCTAAGTGTATTTTTCTCAAAAGTGCTTCTCAAAAAAGTGCTTTTGGAGAGAAGCTACTTTTTTCTGCTTCTCCAAAACTGCTTCTGCTTCTCCTCAAAAGCACTTTTTTTCCTTCCAAAAGCTTGGCCAAACACCTCAATTTTTGGCCAAAAGTGCTTTTGGCAAAAAAAAAAAAGCACTTTTGGCCAAAAAGAAGCTTGGCCAAACAGGTTATAAGTGTCCCAGTCCCCCATAATTGTCCTCCAGTCATATGTTTAAAATCACCATTACAAAGTCTGCATTTAACTCTAGCAGTACCTACTATTTCGTCAAAAAAATTTCAAACCTTACTTCTTTTTCTCCGATTAGTAATCGGGGCCACAGGTGGTCTACTACTAGCATCACGACCACCACCCCTGCTACCAACTCCAACACTACTAGGTGTAAGTGGTGTCTCATCTTCAATTTCTAATTCATTATCTTATATACCAAAATCTTCCTGTGATTGTTTATAATCCATATTATTATCAGTTAATGTTTCAGTAATATGTGTAGAGTCATTTAAATTACCACCATATGCTGAAGTAGTACCTCTTTTTCTATTTTTACGATTAGTAATCTTATTACAAACTCTTTTTGCAGCATTAAATATATTGTGAAAATTTAACTACTAGCAAAAATTAAATATGCAAATAAAATAGTAAATAAGAACAAGAGTTGAAGGGAGTGCACCAAATTCGGCAATAAATCGAACACTTGATGATTTCGCAACTCCAATGTTACCACGAAGAAACGTCAATTGTTCAAACTTCAAATAATAAATAATACGATAAATTAAATTCCAAAAAATGAGAGTCAAATACTTGATTGCACTTTAGGTGAAGAATGAGAGAATGATAATTGAGAATATGAGTTTGAGAAATGAGAGATAAGTGAAGAAATGAAGAAGAGGGGAGTGTATTTATAATTTTTCAAAGGGCTAAATTAGCATTTACAAAAAGTGTTAATTTTAAAATAATGGCCCAAAAAATGGCTATTTGTGCAAAACAGCCTTTTGGGCAACGGCCCCTTGGCCCAGCTGACCGTTACCAACGGTCAGAAAGACAAAAACATTTTAAAAAAAGAAAATTTGAAAGACTAGCCGCTAAACCAGTCTGGGCCAGGCCGTTTAAGCGGTTCTACAGTGATTTAAGTTGATCGGATTTGACCGGTCCAGTTAACCAGTTGAACCAAAGTGAACAGACCAACCCCCCTTACCCCAGTAACCCAACCCACCCGCCCCCTATGTACCGATTTGGGCCGGTCCGGAAACGGATTGATCCGACCCGTTAGACACCCTTAGATAATATTAGACTCGGGTCTAATATTTGCTCATATATTACTGAACCTTACAGACAAACATTAAAGTATCATCAAACATTAATTATAACTTACAAAATTTTAAACCGTAGTCCAACATTTCGTAAAAAATTTAATTTGCTCAAAAGTAATACTTAGATCGTGGTCTTGAGTTTCATCTTTAATTTTGTACTCTCTTTTATGTGCCGGTTGTTATAGTAAAATTGCTCCTCTCCACTCGAGGACGTAGGTCATCTTGACAAAATCACGTTAAATTTTGTCCCTCTTTTATATGCTTTAATTTGTCGTTATTATCAACTTGCATTGTCTTTGTTATTATCATTATAACGTTGTTTGGCTAAATTATGCACTACCCGGTTTCCTGATCCTAACAGTCAGTCATATAAGTACTCTCTTTAAATTCTGGTGAAATTGTCAGCAAAACACTGAATTAATGAAACGAAGCCTACCTAAACAGAGCCAAATTAATTATAGACGATTCATATTACAACAAAAATACAGCAAAATAGATATTAAAAGTTCATAAAGCCAATTCTCAACTAATCTAAAATTAAGACGTATTTAATTCACACTAAAGAAAAATCGAGAATTAATTGAGAATTTGAAGAATTACCGATGACGAAAGGCTGTTTAGGGGTAGTGGAATCAAGAGAGATAGTGGTGGAAAATTGCGTGGGAGTGAGTAGTAGAAGCGCGTGGAGAAGCTGAGCTAGAAGTGAGAAGGCCATCAGATCGGAGACCGGAAAAGTGTGCACCAGAAGCTGCATCCATCACGTATTCTATCGCCGTTGTTTCCTCCGGCACCGGCGCCATTTTTGGTCTTCTTGTTAACTCTTTTTTTTCTTCTCTTGTCAGAGCTTGTTTGGATGGTTGTTACCTCTTGTATTATATAGTATTGTTACTTTAAATACAATGTTTGTTTTGATTGTTAATTTAAATTCTATTGTATCATATCTTAAATCTGTCGTTACGTAACGACGAATAATGTTACTTTATGTAACGCCCAATTTGGTGTGGTCGCGTCGTTACCTTATCTTTTTCTCTCAATATCACCCTTAATTATTGTTAAATAATTTTATTTTATCATTTAACCTACCTTTTATATAGTAATTTCATTAAAAAAAATTAAGAATATTACAAATTTATTCTTTAAAAAAAATTAAGGATATTATAAATTTATTTTTTATATTGGTGGTGCATGGTATCATGAAATGACGGTAAACAACACAATCTATCCAAACATTTTATTTATCGAACGATACAGTAACAATACCATAAAATACATACAATACGATACATTATGAAACGATATTTAACAACCTCCAAACAAGCTTTTAAGAATCACGGAGTAGTCGTCAATGAACAAACACAAATGGAAGGATAAAAATAATTTATTGGTCAGGGTCAGAATATTATATCAAATACAAACTCAGCCACCTATAGTTTGTTTTTTGAGAATATGCTCTTGGAATTAGGACTGGGCATAATTTGGTAAATACCGAATCCGTATCGAAATCGAAAATTTTGGTATTTGGTATACGGTATTTGGTTTAAGTTTTAAAAAAAAAAATTGGTATTAGGTATGGTATTTGGTATTTTAAGATAAAATACCGAAATACCGATACCGTACCGAAATATATATTATATTACACAAAACATATATACTCACTTATAACATAAATATAAAAATTCTAAAATTTTACTTTCCTTTATTCTCAAAGTTCATCAATTAACTCTAAACAAGTAACAAGACATTTCTAAAGATCAAATATTCTTTTACGTATAATTTTCTCTATTTGAGTCGATATTTGCTAGTTTTGGACAAAAATTTTGTCAACAAACTTTTTCAGTTTTGCATTTTTGAGTACTTTAATTAAGAATATTAGAGCGTATAGCTCTATGCACTAGTTAGTATTCAAACCGAATAAACCGAAGTTACCAAACCGAATAAACCAAAACCGAAAGAAGAAAAATCAAACCATACCGAATACCGAAAATACCGAACCGAAATGTCTAATACCGTACCGTACCAACCGACGAAACCCCTACTTGGAATCCAGTTCTAAACTATCACAAACAAAGTGGACTCTCAATTGATTAACAATGATTATATATAGTGCGAAAGATAAGAGTTGAACCTAATCCCTACACAAATATGTGTTTTATTTTTTTCTAGTTATATGTTATTAGTAGTTGATTGGAGTAAACATTGTAAAAGTTAATTCTTTTCTGATGATATGAGGATGTTTTAATTCATTTAGAATGATATTTTGGAAATAGCCAATATCATACTGTAGACAATAAATTGGCGTCGAGAAAATAAAATCAAGACCGAAAATATCGCAACAATCGTAGTATCTTATTTCGAATATTTGAGTGTTACAATCTCTATGAATCCTCTGATCTTCTTTTCAACGGTAAATAAATTCAAGGGCCTTTGAGCTTGATCTTGAATCTATGTTTGTTGCCACGAACGATGATCTTGTTCTTGAGCTTGAGCTTGATTGCTTGGACTTGAACTTGATTTGGTCTTCGTTAGCTTGAACTTGATTTGGTCTTCGTTCTTGAGCTTGAACTTGATTTGTCCTTCGTTCTTGAACTTTAACTTGATTGCTTGAAGCTTGAAACTTGTGGAGAAATTTGTAGTGTTTGATCCACGAGCTCTTTCTTGCTTCTTGTTATAACTTCTGGTCTCTTTTCTGAGCTATGAGGACCCCTATTTATAGTTGTGGAAGGGAGGAGTTATGATAAGAACAAACTCTTTCCGACCAATCAAATTGAAGTGTAACATGGCCGCATTTGATTGGCCAGAACATGTCACTTGCACACGTGGCGCGATTTCATTGGCCTTTTAGTGTGACTGGGCATGCCTTGTCATTTTGACATGTGGTGTGGTCCTATTGGCTCTTCCGCTTGACTTGGCGCGCCACGTCATTTGACACGTGGCACCAAACTGGGCCTCTAGGAAGATGACATCTTGGGCTTAATGAAGTAGGCTCATCATTTTAGCCCAATTAAATGGGCTAGCCCAATGGATTAAGACTTATTTATTTAATCATATATATTGGACCTATATAATTAATTCATTTATATATTAGCCCATAATATTTATTTGGACCAATATTTCTTGAATTTAAAATAAGTCCAAATTAATCTATGAATTTAATTCGTACAAATTTTATATCCTACACATACTATTAAAGTATTAGCGAAAATGTTAATAGAATCATTTAACATCACCAACAACAACAAATCCAGTGGGGACTGAGGAGGATAGTGTGTACGCAGACTTTACCCCTCTCTTCAAAAATACAATAGGAATCAATAAGTGCAAGTCAATGAGCATGTGTATTGTTACGCGATGCCTTCGTGAGATTCCTTGGAAGGCCTGTTTTACCAAAAATGTGTTAACCTTTTCTTAAAACGAATTAATAAGAAAACAGGGGGCGAATCCTAGTTTAATATAATAACTACTAGATCTGAAGACCAAAAGTATTAACGATGTAGGATTATGTCCGATAATATTGAATGCCGATTAAGAGTGCTCATGATTGTCAATGAATGCAATAAAGAAAGCCTGTAATGAATGTAGATAATGGCAATAAATGTAATAAGAAGGAACTTGTCACCCAATGTTAGATGACTTGTATGATTCTCCTTCCTGACAACAACGTGGGGACAATATAAAATGAAGGTGGACAAGAGAATCCTTGGATCTTGTGAGTAAAAGGTATATGTTGAATAGTAGAATCAGTGGACAAGACAAGCTTTGTATATTCTCTGTAGTCAACCTTTACAATATGTTCTTATCCGAAAAGTGAAGAAGACCATTTTTTGTTCTTTATCTCTTCCTATTTATAGGGGATATTTCTAAGAAACCCTAAAAAGTACAACTGAAAGAATATCCAATGGAATATTCCTTCTTTCTATTCTAAACTTATTCTACCATTGCTTTAGTACATTCTTTACTTGACCTCATCACTGATCCTTCTTAAGACCACTCCTCGCCATTGCGTCGTGGTCGGCTTAATCCTCGACCACGTCCATTTACAGTTATTAAGTCCAGTCCAAATTTTGACCAATACAGTTAGTCCATCCGCTTGTTGAGGTCGTGATCTTGGACGTCCTCGATGAGCGGATTCTGTCTGCAACCGTTCAGAGGAAAATTGGTCGTGATAATTGAATCGAATCAGCCGAGGTCGAACTGGCGGCGTTGCCAGCGGGACTGTGGTTGGTGCGGCTGATGTAGGATGACGTCATGGCCACACGCGTCATCATTACGCGTCTTCCCAATGTAGTGTCTGTGCTTTTTTCGCTTCGATTTTGGTGCCATTGACGGCTCTTTGCCTCGATTCTGGTGTCACCCAACCCTATAAATAGAGGAGAGGGGCTTCACTTTCGAAACTTTCAGCATTTCCCATTTTGTATGCATATTGTTCTTCTTTGATCTTCTTCTCTAATCTCCACGTCCGATTTCTTGCAGCTTCTTCAATTCCGGTCCCTGGTTTCTTTCCCGGTTAATATCTTCTTTCTCTGACTTTGCCGTACACACTTTACTACAGAAATATGTCGAATTCCCCTCATATTTACGACGGAGTCTCCGATGCCACTCCTTTATCGGTGGCCATTCCTCTCGGCGGTGAGCAATCCATGGTTGAGGAGGAAGAAAGCTTCCCCACCGTGGAGGAGGTGGTTCCTAAGAATCCTTCGGTCATAAATGACTTCCCAAAGGAACCCGCTCCTGCTCAGGAGCTTTCTGAGATAGGGCCGCGTCAAATACCCGACCTCCGGTCCAAATATCGTATTCCTTCTCACGTCGAAATTGTTCCGGCGGGAGGCGACATAGTACAGGTTCACCGACCCGGATATTGTGCTTTCTACGTTTATCTGTTCCTAGTTGGTTATTCTCCTCCTCTCCCCCATTAGCGGTGGAGTTTTGCCGCTTTTACAATGTATGCCCGGCGCAACTCTCCCCTTATAAATATAAAGTTTTTCTGATACTGGCGAAGTACGGAGAATTGGCCGACTGTGAGGTCAACATCTGCCATCTGCTGCATCTGTTCTCGCCAGTTTTTATAGAGGCACATTGATACATCTGTGACATCGTGGGACCAAAGGGTTGGTGGTCGGGATGGATGATAAGGCAAACCGGCGGTTCTGGCATAAATACTTCTTCATCAAGACCGAGCATCTGGTGGCGAATCCGACCGGGTTCCCTGAGCAATGGAACTATAATCGTAAGTATCTTGCCATATGTTTATTGCTTTCTCTTTTCCTCTTCTTCTTTCATTTTCGACCACTCACGGCTTCCCTGTTTTCAGCTGAGAGGCGTGTACCTTCTCTTATCTTCGATATTGAAGATTGGGTGGCTCGCGTGTTGCCCCATACCGTGGGAATTCATGACTGGGCGTCTTTCCACAAGCGCTTTGGACCCAAGACTTCGTCCAGTAAGTGTTATTTCTACCTCCCAGCTTACTGCCGTTCACTATCGCCTTTTGATGCGACCTTCCTTTGGTGCTAGGTCGGCGAGCTTCCAAAAAGGCGAAGGCTCCAATGCTTGTATTTCGCCCGGCTGTCGCGTCGGCTAGAATGCAGTTTCGTACTGGCTGAGTCCGCACAGGGGAGTCGTACTCTAGTTCCGCCGTCGGGTGATTCCTCCCCGCGGGCAGCCATCACATCTGCTGAGACTTATGATCACCGCGTCCTACATCTAGTTGACGAGTCGTCTCATGATGATGGGGAGGGGGGTGGTACCCCGGAAAAGACGGAGGGTGGAGATTGGAAGGGCCGATGCTATTGATACCAAGTTGGAAAGGCCTATTGATTTGGATGCGGAGGCGGCTCCCTCGTTGAACGTTGAGGCTTCTCCCACGCTGGCTATTGTCATGGAGGAAAGACCGTCAGCGGCCGAGGTGACCTATGACAGGAGGGAGCCTGCTCGGATAGTCGGAGTCAG